CATGTTAAAATCATAGCATCCCAGGAGGGCCTGATGGTTGGCCACCCTCAACTGGAGGCTAGAGGACGAATAAACTGTATGCCCAAACAAGTCTAGTCTCTCAGAGTCTTTGTTCTTAGGGGTAGCCCTGGTTTGACCTTGTCGCTCCCTGTGGTTAACGGCTTCTGCCAATAGGGAGTTGGGAGGAGGGGGGGGTGTACAGGTACTCGTGGCCTTTGGATGGCACAAAGTACTTGTGCTCAGCCCTCTTGGAGATGGGTGGCAAGGAGGAGGGAATTTGCCACAGGGCATTAGTGATCTTAGAGATCCCATCATGAAGGGGCAGAGCCACCCTGGCCGGTGCAGTGGAGCAGAGGACATCGAAGAGAGAGTCTGAGGGCTCCTCTGGCTCCTCTGCCTGAAGACCCAGGTTGGCAGCGACCCTCTTCAGTAGTTCCTGGTGCGCTTTAGCGTTATCTGGAGGAATCGGGGGAGGGGGCCCCATTATAGCCTCATCTGGTGGCGACGAGGAAGATGCCGGTGCCGTAGGATCCTCCACAACCATTGGTGGCCCACTGGCTTGCGCCCCTGCTCCCTCTTGGACTTGCAGGGTCCTCGCACCCAAGGCTTCATGCGCTAGAGGAGGGCGGGAGAGAGAGGCAGCTAGTCTTTCCGAGGCTCTGGACACCGAGCGGGTAGCCTGAGAGGGCTGAGTGAACCCCCATGGGTTCCATGGGTACCATGGCGCCAGCCACTGTGCCTGAGGCCATGGGGCCGGTTTTGGTGCCAACAATGTAGGTGGTACTGCCAGTACCGGAGCCTGTCCCACAGTCAGGGAATCTCACTTCAAACCAGGGCTTGATCCTGAGCGGTCGTTCCCAGGTGACTGTGACGGAGCAGAACGGTGGGTTTGTCCCGACTGGTGCCGGTCACTTCGCTTGGAGTTCCATCTGGAGCAGAGTCTTCAGGACCGGTGGCGCTCGATGGATCTGCAACGGCTTGGAGCTGCCGATCTACATCTCGCGCTTGATGAGCGGTACCAGGATGAGGAGTGGGACCAGGAGTCGGAGCAGGCCCAGTGCCGGGAAGCACCCGCATGCGATGATGCCCTCCTAGGGGATCGGCCACGATCTGAGGAATGGTACTGTCGATCCCTTGACGGGTCCTTGGAGCGGTACCGCGGTCTCGGAGATACCAGGTGCCGGGACTGGCACTCCTGCTTGGGGGTGCGTGCCTCCAAAGGTCTGCGCCCAGTGGCCAGCGAGCTGTGCCTCAAGCTTCTCTGCCCAAGATTCGGGGACTGAATGGGGCTGCACTGTGTCTGCCTATTGCGGTCAGAAGCGTGGCGGCTATGGGAGGGCAAGCGCTGGCGGGACGTCCCCCGCGATGGGGAACGGTGCCGCTGAAGCGGGGACAGATGTGGTCCGACCGCGGGTTTACCCTGTGACCGGGAAACCACAGGAGCCGGTCCGGGTGGCACCGGGAGGAACATGATCTCCTGTGCTGCCCGCAGAGCTGCCGGCGTGGATGGCACCCGGAGCTGATGGAGGCCTCTGCCACTCTCCGGGGTAGCTAGCAGGGAGCGAGTTGGCTACATCACTCCACCAGAGCTTGATCCCGATGTGGGTGAAGAGTTGCTCGGCATGGGACCTTGCTCACACCCAGTCGTATCCTTTCCCTTGCGGGAGGTTGGAGACCGGCCTCGTCCCACTTTTTTGGGCTTCTTGGTCGGAGCCACGGATGGAGACCAGTGCTGGCTAGTGGATGGTCCCGGTGGGGCACTGTGCACTGAGGTCTCAGTACTCTGCACCGAGTTGGAGCGTTGCTCCAGTGCCAGGGTGAGTGCCGACTCCATAAGGAGCACTCTTAAACAAATATTGCACTTCTTCTTAGTCCTTGGCTTGAAGGACTTGCAAATTTTGCACTTTTCACTAACGTTTCCTTCGCCCAAGCAACGCAGACAACTGCTGTGTGTATCACTAATGGGCATGGGCCTCTTGCAGCAATCATAGGGCTTAAAGCCTGGGGATCAGGGCATGCCCTGTCTCGAGGCAAAGTCCCGTTTGGGACCTACAAAGTCTCTAACTATAGCTAAGGAATTATAAACACTAATAAAAAACTATATACAGTATAATACAGGAGATAACTAGTTCGTACGAACCAGCAGCTACAGTACTAACTGAAGCAGCAACAGTTACAGCACCATGACTGAGAGCAAGAAGGAACTGAGGGTGGGGGGAAACCGGCGGCGCCCTATATACCACGGCATGTGCGTGCCACTCCAGGGGGTGCTGGAGCCAGCCCCCTACAGATACTGCTGAGGGAAAAACTTCCGGCACCGGTGCATGTGGCGAGCACTAAGTTGAATGGACATGAGCAATCACTCGAAGAAGTAGTTTACATACTGGGAGTGATGTAGTATTTAAACAGCCTCTTGCCCTAGTCACACTGTGAGTAGGGGGGGAAATGGTATTCCCGAATAGCAACCATTCTCCATCTGGATAATAAAGGAGCAGGATGGTGGGGTTCTAACTAGGGTCCGATGCAGTACTCTTTGACTCAGAGAATTGGTGGAGCTGGTGTAGGGCTTCCAAGAAGGGAATGTTAGTTTGAATGTGGCTGGCATTGCTGAGGTCTTTCTCAGTCGAAGAGGAATACAGAGACAACTCATCCCTGTGCACCTGCCTCTCACGAGTTGCTCTCCTAGACATGCAGCTGTACAGTAAATACTGGCTCAGGACCAGGGACTAAGCTTTTATATGCAGCATAGACTAGATCTATGGCATTCAATATGTTTAAAGGATACTTAATGAACACTCCAATACTGTGCTTGTAGATTTCACTTGGAAGAATTCAATGGGCTTTGGATCAGGCCCTTATACTGCAGTATGTTTATGTACAAAGGAATACTCTTTAGGTAGACAGATAAATTTAGCAAGTCCAACTCTTGGTCACGCACCATTTCTCTAGAAAGGAAAACAGTTATTTTTTTCCAGAACACTGAATGGTTGTTTTATTTTTAAATGAACATCATCAACAGAAAACCTCCTCCTGGAGGGGAGAGGAATCAATTTGAACACACCCTTTGGGATTTTCTCCTTCAAACACTATCACACCTAATCGTTAGGCCTCTAGTCTCAAATACCTGGTCATAAACCTAGGTCCACTGGTTTCTTGGGAAGCAGCCTTAGTTGTTGCACCACACCGACCCATCCAGTTACCAAGGAAATCACAGATTTGGGTGCACCAGCTTCCAGGGTTCTATAACTTGCTTCCTGATTGGCCACATGGTCTTGACCCTGACTGGCTGGTGGCTATATATAAACTTCCTGCTTCCTTCCTGACCTTGTCTGAGCAACAAGCCATTGCCTGCTACTTGGACCCTACTTGATCCTGCTGTGCCACCTCGCCTGACCCTGTCTTACTCCCTGACTCGAACTTGCCTTGCTATCTCACCAAGCCTCGCCAGCAGCCGTGATGTACCTTCCCTTGGATAGGATCTCCTGGCTATTGGACCTCTTGCATGACATCTGATTACTGATCTGGACCGCCCTCAACTTGCCTGATTTCTGAGCATTACACTAACTTCCAGAAACTTATCTGCTGATTTTCTTTAACATTTATTCTTTTGGAGCCCATTGAAGCATATTGCCTTAAAGTTCAAGGAGAGGTTATCAAGTCCTCTATGCTGTTGGCATGTCTGAAACTGCTGACACACATTACAAAAGGAGGGTAATATCTAGTAACTGACAGCTGCAACAATAAAATAGCTACTAGGGAACCTTACCTAGAGCTAACAACAACAGTATGCTGTGCTGAGCTATTGAGCAAATAGGTCATAAATATTTATCACCGGAAATGCAAACAGAGCTTTTAGAAATCATGTAAAAATAATATCCTTCACTTTATTTTGTGGGAAAGGACTGCATTTGGACTTTTGTTGTTTTATTATGAAAAATGTAGCTGCAGTTGTCAATGAAGAAAGCTGTAGAACTATGTGGAAAATTATATTCACTGAAGGCAAAATGATAGAAAAATTGTGCATTTGCCAGATTTGCAAAAAGCAAACAATAGGACTATTTGCTAGATGCAAGTTACCTCTGCAGGTTAAGTATGCAATTCTAGTTCCAGGCCATAAGGAAACAGCAAAGAAAAAAAAAATCACAACATCCCTTCCTCCTCCTGGCCCTGTTTGTTAAGTCTTTAACTCCCTGGGAACCACTAGTGGGACATCAAATAGCATTCTTCTAGTCAGTGTTGCCCAGGACAGAGTTTTAGATACTCTAAATTCTCCCATGGCTGCCACTTGTAGCCTCAATATACGCTCTGTACACTAATGTTTCCCAGTATTTCTAATGTTTCATAATTGAGGTTGATCCTATAACTGGCACTGATGGATAGCGGGATGTGAATGGACTACAAGTCCCTCCATTGGTTTATCAGCTTTACTGCTGTGCCCTATGAGAGAAGACAAGTATTGTAATTGTTAGCACCTGTTGATGTTGTGATGGTTCAACAGCCCTGAGAAGGGCAGGGAGATCCCACAGGGGGAGGTACTTTGAATTTTATTTATGTTTGAGCAGTGTTCAGTTTTCCTAATGGGGCGGGGGGCAGAAGATTTAGTTAATGGCTGATAAATGTCACCATGTTTACAATGACAACATTTGTTAAATGTCACTAAAATTTGTTATGGATGCACCAAATTTGCATTGTGATTACGATGATTTCACACAGTCTCACCACATTGATGTCAACATGTTTTTGATGTTCACTGGGAATTATTATTTTCCATATAAAAATCAATAAAAAAATAAAAAATATATATAGTTTTCAAATCCTGTACATCATTTAAAGGTTCTGTGTGCAGCTTATTTTTCCATACTAAACCTATGTAAGGTTTTTAGCAGAAGAGTGATACTGTCCTCAACAGGTGAAATATAACATATTGTCATCTACTGTACACACATTTAATTGCCCTGTTGATTTCAGTTTAGATTTCTTTGTAAAATGCAGCAACCTACCTTGGATTTCACCATGTTTGCCACTCTCTCTTGCATTGATTGTCCTGCCTTTGGCCTCACGAGGATATAAACAGCTTCCACATCAGGGCTGGAGCGCAGTAGCTTTTCCATCAGTACTTTGCCCATAAAACCCGTGGCTCCTGTGATGAGTACAGTCTTTCCATTGTAATAAGCTGCAATTGAAGACATGGTGCTCTCTCTCTCTGTCCTCCTTCTGACTTCCTGCAGGAGGTACCTGAGGGGAATCAGTAACAGAGCAAGAGATTAGATGCTGGGAAGTTTGACTAAGAATACAGTGCACACTTGAGGACCAATAGGGCCCAGACCAGACCATGCTAGCTGACATCTGCAATAGCCTTTTCAGTCTGTTAGCTGAGGCAGCTCCCACAGCAGACCAATCAGCGGCAACTTTAAAGTTTTTTTTTTTTTTTAAATAGAGGATTGAACATGGACCACACAAACTCATGAGCTTGCAAAGCCTAAACTCCAGTGTAGCCTTAGCCTCCATATCACTATTTATATTATTGTAGCATCTACAGCAGAGGTGGGCAAACTATGGCCCGCGGGCCACATCCAGCCCACGGGACCCTCCTGCCCGGCCCCTGAGCTCCTGGCCTGGGAGGCTAACCCGCTCCCCTGCAGCCTCAGCTCACTGCACCACCAGCGTAATGCTCTGGGCGGCGGGGCTGCGAGCTCTTGCCAGGCAGCGCAGCAGCAGAGCCGCGGCCTGACCGGTGCTCTGTGCTATGCGGTGGTGTGACTGGCTCCAGCTGGGCAGCGCGGCTGCCTGTCCTGGTGCTCTGGGCGGCGCGGCTGTAGCACCACCAGCCACCGGTGCTTCAGGCAGCATGGTAAGGGGGCAGGGACCGGGGGGGTTGGATAGAGGGCAGGGGAGTTCGGGATGGTGGTCAGGGAGCGGGCGTGTGGATAGGGGTCAGGGCAGTCAGAGGGCGGGGAACAGGGGGGTTGAATGGGGGCAGGGATCCCGGGGGGCAATCAGGAAGGAGAGGGGGGTTGGATGGGGCGGCGGGGGGCAGTCAGGGGCAGGGGCTCCAGGGGACAAGGAGGGGTGGATGGGGCAGGGGTCCCGGGGGGGAGCCGTCAGGGGACAAGGAGGGGTGGAAGGGGCAGGGGTCCCGGGGGAGGGGCCCATCAGGGGACAGGGAACGGGGGGGAGGGGTTGGAAGGAGCAGGAGTCCTGCGGGTGTCGTCAGAGGGTAAGAAGCGGGGGGGGGGTCGTATAGGGGTCAGGAGGTGGACCACACCTGGCTGTTTGGGGAGGCACAGCCTCCCCTAACCGTCCCTCCATACAATTTCGGAAACCCAATGTGGCCCTCAGGCCATAAAGTTTGCCCGCCCCTGATCTAGAGGATGCAATCTAGAGTAAGCTAGGCACTGTCCATACACATAGTAAGAGACAGTTGCTGCCTTGAAGAGTTTACAGCCAAAATAGACAAGACAGACAAACAGCAGGATGGGAAACAGAGGCGCAGAGAGGCAAAGTGACTTGTTAAAGTTCACGCAGCAGATCAGCTGACGGACAGGGAACAGAACTCAGGCCTCCTAATGAATATCTTATCCACCAGACCACACTGTGTCAAATCAACTGGGATTGTGTCCCAGCATAAAGAGTTCACCTTGGACAGCCACCTTCCCATGGGGCCAACCTGTTCCTACAACCTGTGATTTGGAAATGGGTTCATTTGGGTAAACCTGGTAAGGTGAGTGGGTCTCAGAGCCCAGGCTCCAGCTCGAGCATAAACATCTACACTACAATTTGTAGCCCCACAGCCCAAGGCCCACAAGCCTGAGTCAACTGACCTAGGCTCTGAGACTTGGTGCCACATGTTTTCTATTGCAGACATGCCCTAAGCATGGGCTCTGACTCAGGTTTGAGCCAGAGTCCCCCTTCCATCCATGCACAAATCAGGCTGACTTGGGTCAGCAAGCACTCAGGACCCAGGCCCTTGGACCCTGCTAGGGAGGTGGGTTAGAACCCGAGTCCTGCTGTGACTTGGGTCCAAGCCCTGTCATTTTGCAGTGTGGATGCAACTCAAGCCACTCACCCAAGTCAGACCTGGGGCCAATAATTGTAAACCCAGGTATACAATGCAATATGGATGCTCAAGCACAGGCATGGAAACACAGAGTCCACAAGTCCAGGTCCCAAAGACCCGGGATTTACATGCAATGTAGACACATACATCCTCTATTTCTCTCATCACCCTGGGTTTCTCCTGAGCACAGATTTATTATCTATTTGCTGTATTACTGGTAATCTAATTATCTATTAATCTAAATCTATATACCTATCTGGATTTATATATGACCAATCATGTGACAGTTCTGTGATATGGGCAACTGTTTAATAAGTACTACTTGAGGCCATCCATTACACTCATTTAATTGTGATCTAGGCTGGATTTGAAAGTAGGCTAGTGCATTAACTTACTGAGCCAGAGTCCCCACAATTATTAATTTGTAAAATAACCTCATATGAAAGCGAAGTTTCTCTTTGACCCATTTTTAAAATTGGACAGTACACTTGATAATTAGTTTTGGATCTCTTCTAAAGCTGGGATTTTCCTTCATTTTATATTATATAGTGCAGAGTCTACAAGGCTCGGAATAATACTTCAGCTGGATTTGATTCACTAACTTAAGCATCTGGGCTTCTGTTGAAAAACAGCCCATCTTGATTAAAAAATTACCAGTGATGGAGAACCCAGCATGACTCTTGAGAAATTGTTCCAGCAGTTAATTACCCTCACTGTTAAAAAATTGTCTTATTTCTGGTCAAAATGTGTCTGGGTTCAACTTTCAGCCATTGGATCATGCTATACCTTCTGTTAGATTGAAGAGCCCAATATTAAATATTTATTCCCCCTGTAGATACCTATCGACTAATCAAGTCAGCCCTTAACCTTCACTTTGTTAAACTAAATAGATTGAGCTCCTTAAGTCTATTGCTAAAAGGCTTGTTGTCTAATCCTTTAATCATTCTCATGGCTCTTCTCTGAACCCTCTCCAATTTATCAACATCCTTGAATTGTAGGCACCAGAACTGGACACAGTAGTTGAGCAACGGTTGCACCAGTGCCAAATGCAGAGGTAAAATAACCTCTCTGTTCCCACTTGATATTCCCCTGTCTATGCACCCCAGGATCGCATTAGCTCTTTTGGCCACAGCATCACACTACCAATAGTTGAAAGTCCTACTATTCATATTTGATGCATTAAAATGGGTGTTCAAAACTAGGAGAACCAGGTAAAATTTTCAAGACTGCCTACTTCCCATTTTCAAGAGTGACAGGTGCCTCTTTGCCTAAGTCACTTCTAAAAATTTTATGCTAAATAATGAATTTGACAAGTCCACTAATTTAGACCTATTAAAATATAGTATATAGGCTTGATAGAATTTCAGTATTTCTGGGACTGCTATCAAATTGGTTGGTCAGTACAATTCAAAAATTGGATATTTCAAAAATTCAGTTTCTTTTTTCTGGACCCCCTTTTGCTAACAAGGGGCTGGTTTGTCATCCTTCAACCTTTCCATATAGTTAAGACTTATTACCAACCATCTTCAACTGTACATTAGATTGTAATTAAGCAAAATTATAAATAATTGTCAATATAGCAGCAGAGGTGCTGGAACGATTTGTATAGTGGGAGGTGCTGAGAGCCAATAAACCAAATGGTATATAATGGAAACCACTTCAAGCCAGGGTGCGGCAGCACCCCCGTACTCCTAGTTCCAGCACCTATGTATAGCAGGAAACATAGGAGAATAAAGAGACTCAAAATAGCGGTTATGTGCTATAACTTACAATGAAACTCTTCTGTATCACTAGTGGACGATGACATTAGGAAAGATGACCACCATTGAGTTCTTTCCTGTAATGTAAGGTTTAGAATCCAAGTACCAATATACATTTTAGTAGAACTATCTGTTTTTCTCTACTGAAGACTGGCTTATTGGCAAAACAAGTTAAGCAGCTGTGTGAGTGAGTTTTGTACCACAGAAGTACTTCATCAAATTACAGAATATAGATTTGTTTGAAATGCAATTAATTAACTACAGGTTTGATTCTGTAATGATGTAAGGGCCTCTCAGGGCTGATACTGGTGTGCACATAGGATATCAAGGATATTTGATCATCTGCAGCTACAGGACAGAGCTATACAAATGCATATTATTTGTAAAAAATATTAAGTTGCCCGGGCAGCTCCTCTCCCTGCAATCTCACTGTGTTCAATTTGGTTTAATCACTGGAGTCATTTTATAATATCAGACTCTGTCATTGCATCAGACTGCTCACACATGAAACCTGTGCATGTTTCACTAACAAAGACGCACATTTTAAGTGCTTTGCGCTACAAACTGGATCATGCAACACTCTGCAATTGTGCACCCAACCAACCCACAACAGCCCAGAAAGTTTCCACCCGGTATCACTGAAATGTACAGAAATTGATACTGTGGAACTGAACCAAAAAATCCTGGCTTATTTGCCTGGCTTTGATCTGAAGACTGTAATTTCTATCCAGCCAAACCAAGTCACTTTTGTTGGGAAATAATACAAGAGTCTGAAATCAGGCATCAGAGATGAGGTTGCTTGGCAATATCAAGACCAGGGCCAGCTCCAGGCACCAGCTAAAGAAGCAGGTGCTTGGGGCGGCCAGTACCAAGGGGCAGCACTCGGGCCGCTATTGGGGCGGCACGTCCGGGGTCTTCGGCGGCAATTCGGTGGCGAGTCCCTCAGTCTCTCTCAGAGCGAAGGACCTGCCGCCGAAGAGTGGAGCGGCGCAATAGCGCTGCCGTGGCTTTTTTTCTTTTTTTTTTGGTCGCTTGGGGCGGCAGAAAACCTGGAGCCGGCCCTGATCAAGACACTGCTCAGGCAGGGCCTCTGAAACAGAAGAAACCCAGGAAGAATGAAACAGGACACACTGTTTATGATATTAAGCTCACCTCTGCTGATACATTTTTTCCCCCCTTCCTTAACTAGGATAAACCTTGACAACACAGTGCTCTTTTATGTTGTGGATCCATGTTACTTATTATCACGGTGAGTATTTATACATGTAGAGGTTATAAGTTCTTGAGTTGGCGAAATAACAAATCAGGACCCTGATCCTGCAAGCTGGCTCACACAGGCAGATTCCGGAACCTCTGGAGCCCTCTTCACTTCAATGGGGCCCTGAGCTAGCACAAGAATCCACAAATTGATGCAGCTT